ATATATAGCTCTACAACTTATATATATATACATATATATAAATATATATATATATATATGTATATATAGATATAGATATATATGTATGTATGTATATACGTATGTATTATAAAACCAATAATAAAAATAATAATTAGCTCATCGTGTGGACATAACAAGTTTTTTTCTTTTGTATTTTTAAATATTTTATTCAATATTCAATGGGCTAAATATTAAACGAATTGTTTAAATGAATTGTTTAAGACACACAAGTTTCGGTTAAAACGGGTAAATATAAAAAAAAAAAATGTTATAAAACATAAATTCGAAATTTAAATTTAATTTAAAATAAAAAATTAATGAAAAAAACGTTTTTAAATAAAAAAAAACTTTAGAGCATAGTATTAAAAAGCAATACGAAATATTCGCTGTCAACTTATTCCCACGTAAATAAATAATAAATCAAATCAAATAAAATAATTAATGTGGAAATCAATTCTTAATGAAATGTAAATAATTATTAAAAAACATTACATTACACACACACAAGTAAAAAAGTTTTTGCTTTCAAAAATTTTTATATATTTTTTTTTTTTTTTTGCAAAAAATCATAAATCGTTTGTGCATTGTATACAACTTTGAGATAGAGAGGACCGTTAAAGTATCCTTTTTAAGCGGCTTTCGTTTTCTCTACAGTTATCTAAACTCATAAGTAAGTTGAGAATCTTTTGAATCGAAATCCTTTCACAAGTGGTGATTAGGAGAACATGATTTCGAGCTTAAACTCCAATTAGCAATACTTTTTGCCAAATGATATCTGACGTTGTCAGCTTTTTCGGTCCGAACATAGAAGTATCAAGACCTTTCCATTAGACAGAAGGCAATTTCAAAAACCCTACAGAGTGCAGATTTTTGCATCTTTACGTTCTTCTTTGTCCGTCCATCTGTCTGCTTTTTTATGCCAGTCTGTGGTAAAAGCTTGGATGATAAAAATTTGACAAAAACATTGCATACACACGTTAATACGTGAAACGGACATATGACCATACAAGATGGGATGGAATTGCGTCTACTTTTCTTTTAATAAGTTCCAAGACAAGAAATGATAAAAATGTCTATATTTGAGTGATTCAAAAGTACTTAAGCCAATCATCCAAGTATATCTCGTTCTAGCTATGATGAATGCTCAGCCGGCAAACGCTTACCGATTGAACCACGCATCCACTAGACTGCGGCTAATGTCCATATTTTTCTCCCTTCCTCCCTCTAGGGCATTAACAGTAAATATTTACGAAAAGTATCTTTTCTCCTCACAAGTGGAAACAGACTGAAAAAGACTGAAAAACTTCACATACATATATGAATCTGCGGACTGAAGCATTTATCTACCGCTGCAATCGCCGTTAACCCACTGGAAAAATGTGCAAGAAAATTAAAAAGAACAAAATGCAGAAACTTTTTTGTTTGCTTAACGCTTATCACACAAAATATTGCATTTCCTTTCATTATTGAAATTTTTGTTATACAACATTAATTTCTTACATTAACATTAATTACATCGGGACAAGGACTTCAATTAATGCTTATCGTGTTTCATTATCCAATTTTAAATTCTTCTTCTTCTTCTTTTTTTTTTTTTTTTTGTAATTAATTATTGCTCTTTATTCAATTGAGATTTATTCCTAACTAATTAAAAATTTTTATCAACCATGCGCTACAAGTGTTTTTGGTCAAGTGTACGCAACACGTAGATGCGTACGTATGTACAGAAGAAAGAAAACATGATTTATCAACTTTTTATTATATATCAATCGATTCGAGAATCATCTTCTCAATTTGAACTCATTCTCTCTTCGTCGGTCCATCTTGTTATCTTGGTGTGATCTCTCAATATTTTAACGAAATTTGAACACTGACGTGTTTTGGCCAGAGAATGAAACCAATTGAAGATTATTTGGATCGGAACAATTTTCTTCAATCTCCTTAACACATAATTTGTCATTTTAAAGAGTCCGAAATATGATTAACAATACAATAGTGTAGGGTAACTAATGGTGAATGGTCGTGATTCATTATAGTGTTTTTGCTCGCTTGCTAAACAATTTTTTTATTTTTTTAATATTAATAATGAAAATTGTTTTTCATATAATTTTAGTTAATTAAAAAAAATTAATCGGATAATTTCTATTAATTAATTTGACTTGATTAATATTTTAACATTTACGAAATTAAATTGAAATCATTTGTATGCACTAAACGAAATACGATCATAGCAAGCAATTTTGCCTCGATTTATTCCCCCATCGTTAGGATGAAGTGAGATAATGATTGCATAGAAAGCAAATAAAAAATCATTTTAATTAAATTTTTGACAATTAAATCTCATTTCAATTACTTAAATGGGCAAATGAATTTTTATAACGCTTTTGTTATGGTTTTCGGTCTTAATCTTTTCAAGTTTAATGACAAAAAATTCTTGTCAAAGTTAAATATATTTTTTTTTAGAATAACACTAAAGCATATATAATAAAATAGATAAGACAAACGACGAATGACTTGTAGAATTGTTTTTAATTTTTTTATGCTAATTATGTTGACTGATTATACGGACGTAGTTAAGTTAAGTGCGATTTTATAATAAACATTCAGTAGAAGGCATAAAATTAAGCATTAAACTTTCATTCCTGCCGTTCAGGAATGAAAGCCTGAAAGATACAATAAATGTTTAATCTGCTGACCTCTTGTTTCGAGTACAGCTTCACGTTGTATTTCTAACATCAATCAACTCATTGCCAAACTTATGCCTTTCTTGATAATTCGCCAGACCAGTTGTAATGACCTTTGCGAAGTTAGCGAGAGGCAACAACAAAAAAAATTAAGTCTGCAAAGCATTGCATAGCAAGGACTAACAAAGATATTTGTGGATTTATTCAAATGAAATTCAAAATTAAAGAAAATATCATCTAATCTTCCACGACCGGAAATGTTATAGGCGGGATGGCACTTTGTTTGATCAGTTACTCGCATTTTAGGCTTACTAGCTTTAGGCTTTAAAAATTTTATCTAATAAGTATTAGGAAGTATTAGGTTTTCCTCTTTAAATAATGTTTGCCTACAATTGTAAGCTAAAAGTTGACCAAATCGGAACACTTTAGATGAAACTTATAGAAGACTCTCTATAATCGGACATATATGTTATCTTAGTGTGTGAGTTATGGACCAAAAGCCATTTTGGGAGATTGTTCATATTGTTATGCTTTTTATAGCAAATATGAATTATACGCAAAGTCTTTCCGTGTTCGTACATTTGAAAATGCTTAACGGCTTAAAGTCACATGTATTTTAATCACATTAACCCCAAATTAAACATAATGTATTCATATATCATATGTAGGAATGAATGCTTCACTTGCCAAATCGATTAACTCCATAAAATTAAAAGTAGAAAAAAGTGATAAAACTGTTTATGTACTACTACTTCTAAGTATCTATTTAAAAAAATTCCGATATGCGATTAACTATTAAGTTACGTGTTTTTTATCAAAATTTTTATTACGATTTCCGTTAGAAATAATTGATGTGGTCAACAGTTCTTATTAGAACAATTTCTTTTGTCGAAGCTAACCAAGTGCTATGGCATTGAAATATTAAACAAATTCCAGAAAGTGGAGTTATTCGATTTAGCAACTAAAGAATTCACATATCGGACAGCCTTTTTTTAGAGGGTAACGTTCATCAAATATTTCTACAAAATCCTCATCTTTTAGCATAATCCACCATCGTTTAAATCTAATGTTTTAAGCCTTAATTAAGTTTTAAAGGGATAGTGAGTTTGAGCATAACCACGTGGTCGGCCTGTTTTTTCAATCATACAAAGTGGAAAAAAGATATCCTTCTCGTGTCATTTGTCAACACCAAACGTCAGAGAGAGAGAGGGATAGGAAGAGAGACTGAGAGAGAGAGGGAGAGGGAGAGGGAGAGAGAGAGAGAGAGATTTGATTTTTCTTTTTCCTATTGTGTCGAGAAAGTAAGCAGTTTTGTGCTCGAGACCCTTAGACGCGTTAGATGCATAAATGGACTTGTTTTCGCAGAAGTAAATGTGAGCGAAATTATGTAAGTGCATGAACCGAACTGTGGGAATAGGGCCAGAAACCGTTAAAGTAAGCCGGACCAAAGAGATAGAAATAGAGAGATATTGATGGAGGGTTACCTACAACCGATATAAGAAAATCTAAAGTTAAAAACATGTCTCCGATAACCGAATAAGAAATGATAATAATAATTTTTCCTAGTCCAGCCTAGTCAGGTCCAAGGAAGAATATTTCTCTTGGGAGTCAAAGATCATCAATCCGAGCAAAGGCCACAACTTCTTCGAGTTGTAAAAGGAGTAAATATAAAAATGACCTAGGCCATTAGGAAATTTCTGTATACTCGGGATAGCAGTTATTTTTACTATAGAGACCGATTCAAATTTTTACAAATCACTTGCTTTTCACATATGAAGGAAATACCATTACATGGTATTAAACATTGCTAGCAGCAAATTAAATTGTCCAAATCGTTTATGGTCACAAATCTATATCTCTAATCTTTGTTGATTAAATTAAAGCTAACCGTATCAACTAAATTTATTTTAAAAGTTTTTATTCAATATCTATTATGTATTGCATTATAGGCAAAGTTGAGTGCATATATAAATTGAAAACTATTGCATTTAATTATAATGTTGTCCCATAAATTCATTTCCATTAGAAATTTTAACATTTTGAAAATATCAAATCAATTCTATATATACATATATATATATATATATATAAATAAAAGAATAAAATGAATATCGCGAATATTCGAATTAAAAGTTTTGCAATTCGCTAAGCAATACACGCACATTTTTCTAAATGTGAAATTGAAATTTTTTAATTTAATTAAAGAATATTTACTAAAATCCATATACATATACTGAAACACAAAAAAAAAAATAAAAAAAACCTTTTAAAAAAAAAAAAAAAAAAACAAAAAAAAAAAAAAAAAAAAAAAAAGTAGAAAAACTCCAGCAAATTGTTTGGGACCACAGTAATGCAAATTTAAGAAAAAAAAAAAAGAAAAAAACAAAAACAAACAAACAAAGAGAAAAGTCATGTTGGCTTCAACTTTCTAATTCTATTCAAGTAGAGAAGCGAGTTTTTTTTTTTTGAATAATGGATTTCAATGCGCCATTGGATACAAACATCAATACCGGTAATATAAGTACAGATGAGTTTTTGGCAATATTCACTTCAACATCAGCTCTACCGAGAGAAGCAGGTGGTGGACCAGGTGGCGGTGGTACTAGTGAAAATGGCGGAATTAAAGTCGCCAATATAACAAAAACGAATGATAGTCATTTAACCAGCCTCGCAAATTCCACACTCAATCCGCCCTTACTTACGGTAGATGGTCAATACACAATAACAAGTTTACTCGATAATTCATTAACTGGTATCGATTCTACCGTATCGAGTTCCTTGGCCGATATAAATGATACATTTTTTTTGTTATCAAGTAATTTTTATAATACCAGTACATCGTTCGCATCGTCTGCCATAAATTTAACTTCCAGTTACGCGAATTTTAACAATCAATCGTATACAAATTTAACGGGCAATGTCACCGAAGTACGTTGGGATGGACGCTATCCAAGCGGTTATACGTTAACGCATATTGTCGTCGCGTCCATAATTGTAACCATATTAATGATAATCATTATTGTCGGTAATATGTTGGTGATAATTGCCATTGCTACCGAAAAATCATTGAAAAATATTCAAAATTGGTTTATCGCTTCATTAGCGGTAGCCGATTTCTTTCTGGGCTTAGTTATAATGCCATTCTCATTGGCCAATGAGCTGATGGGCTATTGGATATTTGGCAGTTGGTGGTGCGATATACACTCAGCAATGGATGTATTATTGTGCACGGCATCGATTATGAATTTATGTTTAATATCATTGGATCGTTATTGGAGTATAACGAAAGCTGTAGATTATTTAAAATCACGTACGCCAGCTCGAGCGGCTCTTATGATTGCAGCCGTTTGGATAATGTCCGCTTTAATATGCATACCACCGCTATTAGGTTGGAAAGTGAAATTACCCGAAGGTCCGTTGCCCAAATGTCAGGTGAGTATTGAATTATATTTCTTAGAAATTAATTATAATAAATTTCTTTTCAAAGTTGATGACGGAACACAATATTGTTTTCTTTACATTGAAATATTTATTGGAGAACTATTGATGTATAGGGATTACATTCTCTCCTTCCAAAAATACCAATAATAAAGTGTTTAAGAAGCGTGTCCAAAGTTTGTGGAACAGGAAACATGGACGGACGGACAGACATATAGGCAGCCAAAAGGTACAAAAGAGGTAAAAAAGATAAAGAGAGAGAGACAAACGAACGGATGGACGGATGGATTAAAGAGATGACAGGTGAAAAAAATATATATCGATTGCAAATCGGAATAAGAATAATTCGTACTCTTTATTACGAATCCAATGGGCATTCTGAGAACATCTCTTCTCGCGAGAAACTCTTGTGAGTTACCAAAAGCTGTACTCCCTTTGTGTCTTTATAAACGTTGTATCTTTAATTTAATCTTTAAGGAACTTGAGTAATCATGTTATGTGAATAATTTGATTACTTGAACTAACATAAGTTATTTTTGTGTGCAATAATTCCTAGAATGGATTAAAGATAAGAATGCAATATAAAATTGTACTTACTCTTTTACCATAGATTCAGTTTTAAACTAAAAGATTTAAATAGAATTTATCTCCTGTGGCTAATCGACTCTTCCTCCTTAACGATAATTTCTACTACATGTGGATAATTTATGAAATTTGCCTTTTTTTTTCTTTCAAAACTACCATCAAAATTTATCTTATCTATCACACATGTTGTTTTGATTTGTTAAAAATTTTATACATACATATTTATGGTGTCTGGTTGAAATGGCCTTTTGCCGATAACATAAAAAAAGGCAAGTTCTTAAGACTACATATAGCACTCTTCCTTTCAACTTGGAAATTGCTATAGACGATCTATTAGGTATTGGTGAAGAGAATTTATGCCATAAGTAAGATGGAATGATGTATGAGCTTGAAAGAAAGCTATTGGTATTGAACAGACGTATGAGAAAGATATCGAGAGGGAGAGATGAAAGAGTTTCTTCTTCTTCTCCTTCTCACCTAAACACAATCGTTTGAGCGAATATTCATCAAATCATTCTTGTTTATGGTAATTCTTTAAAATGTATTCAATTTTTTTTTTTGTATTTTTGAAAGAAATTTTTTAAGTCCTTTGGTTATGATTGCTTGTTTATGGCTCGAACAAACTCTCAAACACGATCTAAGGAGCATCAAAGCTAAAATTCAAAATTTTTATTACAAATTTCAATAGACATACTTGAGTAGTCGATGCAGAACGTTATAGCAATGAAGAATATATTTATTCTGTCTATGAAAATTCCAAGTTACCACATGATTTTACAAACGCAAGGTCATCTTTCATCGGTAGATACAAAATCACGTAATCTACGTACAAATGTGTTTTATATACTTCTACATGCACAACACAAGTTTGTTCTTTTAATATAAAACATTCTAGCAGACTCTATAAAGACTCGTAAATTGAAGCAACTCAGTGCGCATGCAAGATTAAAAACAAAAAAAAATTTGTTCTTTTTTCTTTTTTTTTTAACTCATTTGTAAACGATAAGCGAGGGACTATTAATAGTACGGTTGGTGGGCTTTTGTGCTAATGTAGAATAAAAATACATTTCTTCTTCTAGCCTTAATCTCCTAAATACTGTTTAATAACTGAGAGATACTTTTGTCGAAAGCATATTTTAACGTGGTAAAGAAACCCTCTGAACAGAACATTTTACAATGATATCGCATTTCAAAGATAGTTGTTACGGGATATACACAAACGTAATGACACACTTTTTAAAGTTTTATCAAAATATTTGAATAAATTTTGTTTTGGGAAACAGAAATTCTAAATACATCCTTTGGTTACGTGCAGATACATATGCCAATATATATATATATGTACATAAACATTCGCTTGGATGCTAGAATTATAAGAAACGCCGTAAGAGGTTTAATAAGAGACAATTACTACTATCTTCTGCACGAGTTTTCGGCTGCCATACGAAAACATTCAAAAACTCACTGTCGTGTTCCCTATATATATATATATACATACATACATATTGAATCTTAGAATTATAAGAAACGCTCTAAGAGGCCTGATAAGAGAGAAGTTCTACTATCCTTTAGACGAGCTTTCAGCCGCCAAACGCAAATATTCATAAAATCACTACTGTGTTCTCTCTATATATATGTATGCGTATGTATATATGTACACATACATACATATGATTGGATCTTAGAATTATAAGAAACGCTCTAAGAGGCCTAATAGGAGAGAAACACTACTACTCTCTAGACGGGCTTTCAGTTGCCAAAGGCAAATATTGAAAAAATCGCTACAGAGTTCTTAATATTTTCTTAACGCCGGCAGGATTTTACACAAAATTTTATATCAAGTTGTACAAAATAAAAAAAATATAAAATTTTCGTCAGCTTTATTATTAAAATTAAAATTTTTCCCTTAAAGACTGTTTCTAAAAGTCTCGACAAAAGTCGCCCTTTTCATTACATGTGAGTCCTTTGCAAACTAAGCCGCTAGATAGTTAGTTAAATGAACAGCGTCTGAGAACTTTGCACGCAACTGAACATTATCTATGTCGACCTTGGGGATATCTTTGAGAAATATTTCTAATTGTTCCGGAAAAGATGAGAAACTGGTATAACACGTCCTCGCATAAACAAGGAGAGCAAGTTTGGATGAACTTAGTTCTTTGAAACATTTTAATTTTAATAATTTTTTTTTTTTTTTTGAGCCGATAGCCTGTGTTGCTAGTGCTCAATGTCTTTTTTTTAGTCTAAGAATTCAATTCATTAGTCTAAAATTAAAATAATAATAATAATAATAATAATTTTTTTTGTTAAAAAATATCTTATGCTTAAAATTTTCATATTAAAGTGATTTTTTTTTTTCTTTTGCTTATTCATTTTCAACGTTTTGATAAATTTATGTTTTTTTAATTTTCAAAGCAAACTTTATAAATTCATATGATTTATTGCCAGACATTTTTATAAGAAAAAAAAAAAAAAAAAAAAACAATTGATAAAATAGTTTCATATGTTTTAATAGCTTTTATGAAATATTTACCAAACCTTAAATACATAAAACAGATGCATGATATGCTATATCATTAGAATCTTAAAAAATAAACTTAATTCACTAAAAATAGAAAACAATTCTTTTCAAATTTTATTTAATTTAAAGTAATACGAAAAAGAAATCTTAAGGTAAATGATCGGATTTGAATTTCATTAGTAATTTTCAAAAATATATATTTTCTTTCCCAATAGGTAAGCGACTACGTAGTATGAAATAAAAAAGATCGCCTCCGATACGAAAAATATTTAAAGGTCAGATCCCAAAATATAAAGTCGATTTACATTTTACGAAAGGTTGCCAAGAATTGGATGAAATGCACTCGGGATTTCCGGCATGAAAGGCCGGTGACGGCTATAAATCTCACGGTGAAGGTCCCACCAAACGTCGATATTGACATCATTCATTTCCACGTACCTCAACTTATTGCTTCTCAAGACAATTACAAACGACCATTTAAAGACGGACATCAGCAATTAACAATCGAAGTAAGAGAAAACCCGAAACTCCTTCCAACCATTAAGAAACACTTTCTTTAAATCCATCTGAAAGCCATCTATAAGAAATTCAAAAGCTCTCGAGCTAAATCATAGTTAAAATGGTCCATGCTTCCTTACTGCGAAAGGGCTCGGAATTTTCTAAAGCGATACATATTCAAAGACAACAAGTAGAGAAACTTTTTATATGAAGCATTCCCTAAGAGGGCATCGAACCAATAGTCGACCAGTCTTAGACTCTCTAATATTTGCAATCGCTTTCGAAAGACATTCATAAACCAGTTTTGCCATTCCGTTTAGAATATCAAAGACCTTGTAGTGTGATCATCATATGCACCTTTTTGCGCGTCTGTCTTGATTTGTTCAAGCTCTTCTTCTTGAGCCATAAGTTAGGAGATAGAAAACTGAAACTTATCAAATATCCCCTAACCCGGTAACCACAACATCAAGTTTTAGGGCAAGAACATTCTCCTTTGCTAAGATAATGAAATTAGTGGAGACAGTGGAGCTTTTTGATTGCTTACGCTTCAAACCAATGCATAATATATCTGATATATGTTTCTATGTCCATTGGTCATAAAAAGTTTTTGTACCGAATTTTCGATAAATATCTGCTGGACATTGAAAGTTTTCTTCCATTGGTGCTAACTGTAGTCGTCATCTAAGAGGATATGTGATAATTTTACGACTTCTATTGTAATTTTTTATGATTGCTGGCATTCAATCAATACGTTTTATCGGAGAATATATAATACTACATCTAAGATCGTTGATAAATATTTCGAGTGTTAAAAATGGAAAAAAAACTTTAGTATACGGCCAGTTTCTTGAGAGGAAAGACACATTTAAAGCGTTTTCCTTTCCTATATAATATATCTTAAGAGATCTACTAGTGATTTTTATTCGTTGCGGTTACAAGTATAATTCCAAGAATTGCAGCGACATGCAGTTAAAATCTTATCCTGATTAAACCTAAGCATCCTTGAACAATTCCCTTTTTTTTCAATCGCAACAACAATGCAGTAAAGTTAATGTTTTCAGCAGTAATGTAAACGAAGAGAGTAAAAAAAAAAAAAAATAATATAAAGATCACAGATATTAAAAAAGTATTGACAAGAAATCAAATCAAACAGTTAATGTATCTCTTTTGCATATATAGATATATATAAAACACATATACATATGTATATCGATTACGTATGTTTACATGTATGTACGTATGTATTCCTTTCTTGTTTTATTTCGCTTTTAGTTAATTGTTCGCAAATGGTAAATGAATGTAAGAGAAATGCAAAAACTTTATATATATGCATTAACCTTGAAATGAACGAGTGAATGCATTTAGAGCAGCAGAGTAGAAGAAGGGCAAAGTA